ATTCTAGTGACTAACTGCCACCAGGAAGGACAGCACAGTCCTGAAGCACTGAATATAAGCTTCAAATCCTTATTTATGCTTGTGACCCTTCAGAGCACTTCCCCATCACCACAAACCTGAAGATCCCAGGCTACCAACATGTTCACTCTCACAAAGAAAAGGACATGATCAGGGAGGGCTCTTCTTGCTATAACATGAGAAGCCAAGTCACACACAGGTGGTCAGATGCTTCAGGGAGCTTTCTGAAGGCCAAGGAACTCCTCAGTGTCCACCCTGCACCTCAGAAGTGACCACATTTCAAACTCACACTCAATAAACACTCTCTGCTTGTCTCCATGATGGAGACACCACAGCCTTTACACAAAGGGTGATGCTGCAGCATCTTTCTTGCCCATTGTGGTTTCCACCAAGTGAACCTGGGATGATCCCCCCATGTCAGAGCCCATCCAGCCTCCAGACCAGCACAAAAACTACAATTTTTCCAACTACCCATCTAGCAGCACGCTCCTTCCAAACCCAGCTCACAACCACAGCTTTCTTTGGGCCATCACGACATCAGGTCTCAGCTGCTTCACCCATGAACAAACACGCCCTGGCTCAGGTGCTCTAAGACAGATGCAAGTGAGCAAAAGGGATTCAAAGGCTTTTGGAAGCGTGTCCCATGTCCTGATGAGCTCTGCTGTTTAATCACATAGTTACAACACAAGAGCAGAGTGTAAATGGTTATGCGATTACATTTAAGAAGAAATATTCTGCATGAAAAAAGAAACAGCCATTTGCTGAGCCACAGATGCCACCACAACATTAAAAACTTTAAGGGGAAGGAATTAAAACATGGAAATGAGGAAGCACACTTCATTGCTGTGGGACTCCTATATAGGTCTGGGTCAGTGGCTGGAGCTGGACACCTGTGGAGGGTGGGAAGGCTGGAGCAGCACCTGCCTGTGCTGCTGGCCAGCCATGGCTCTGCCAGTGCTGGAGGCAGCACTAATCAGGACAGCCAGAGAAAACAGGTCCATTAGATGCAGCCCAGAACACATACGGATACCGAGGCAACGGGCTCATAAACACACCGAAGCCACTAATGCATCCCTAACCTCTGCCTAAGGGATTGAACCTCTTAAAAATACAGCTGATTTGATCTGAAAGCTCCTTTGTAAATGCTACAGCCAGTTGAACAGGCAAGGAAAGTTAAAAAGAAACACTGTATCTTAGAAAAAAGCTCATTGTAGAAACACTATGGCAACTCGGGGAAAAAAGGAGGGAGAAAGAATGGTGATGTATACGGAGAAAATACCACCATTACTAAGGAAAGAAAAAAAAGGGAAACTACACTGTAATTTTAACAGCTTATTATTACTTTCTATTATCATTGCAGGTTATATTTCAGGATATTTTACATCTGCATTTAATGTGAACAAATGTGCATTCACAGCTGGTTGAGATCCAAAATAAGCAAGAACACAGATTTCAGTGTTAAACTGCCACACTTTAATGCCAGTTGGAAGTTTTTTCATTTCCTTCCTCTCACTTGCATCCAGGACTTGCAGAATGTTCCTGACCTGGGCCTCGGTTTTCCTGATGTGTGAAATGTTGATGTAAGGTCCACTTCTTTATTTTCTTGCCCAGCTCCTGCATCTTCACTGCTTGCTTCACTGCAGAAACCAGTGAGCCTTTGGTTGCAGGCCACTGCTCTGGCAGGTGGCAGAAGAAAGGAAAGTTGCTTCAACTAACACCCCGAATCAACAGCAGCAAGGAAAGTGAAGAGGTAAAATCAGGCAATGGGGGAAGAGAGAAAAGTAGGACACCTGAACATTTCTGCCAGCCTCAACTGTGATTGTACAGAAAGCTGACAAGGAAACAGTTAAAGAAATACAAGAAATTTGTGCAGTACCTATGGTGGTGGCTAAGCGGACAACTATTCCTGATGGGAAAAGATGACAAAGAAATGTGTGACTCTAGAGAACTGAATAAGAACAGAGATGGAAAATACACAAAGACAATAGAATCTAAAATAAAATAGGGTACACAACAGGAATATGTATAAAACAGCACAGGCAAATGCAGCAGAGGGAACAGAGAATCTGACAGATAAAAATATGGATTTGAAAAGAATAGAGAAAATAACACCCGCATGGAAAGCAGCAAAATAAGAAAAAATATTTGTGAAAAAACATCTGGAGTCAGGAGCATATTTTAATTTCAGATTTTTTTTTATTCCCCATTTGCTACTCTCATTTTGAACTTTTTTTCCTCCATAAATTGGGGAACCATATGGGAGAATGAACACTTTCACTGTGACTGACCACCACTGACATAGTAATTACAGAGGATGTTCAGGTACATTTAGGTACACTAAGCTGTAAACAACGTGAAGACTGCAAGAAAGGAGACTGACATAGGCAAGGAGTGGCCCTCCTTTCTGACAACCTATGTATTTTAAATTATTTCTCCCCCTGTGTCCCCATACCTCCTTTAACATTTCTCAAATGTATAATACACATAAGAGCTAATTTTACCACAGGGGCCTGCTTTAGATATTAGAAGAGGTGCAGTTTTGAACACCAAACTGATATTTTTTCAGAGGATAACTAAAATCTTGAACCTTGCTGCTTACAAGAATTTAACTACTTTTCAACTCTAGAGCTACTATGGTCTAAATATACTCACAGAATATAACATGGAGAGTAAGAACTGCAAAAAAAAAATATTTACAATGTTCTGAATGAAACATTTTTTCACAGGAATGATAATTAAAAATACATTTTAAATGTTGCTCTGGTATACCTGGCCCTCTGTTTATTTGATGCTTGGCTCTCTGTTAATTTATTTTTATATCTGCAAATTATATTGCAGAGGTAGTTTAAAAGTTGATTTAGATACCATGATAGCAGCCAAACATCCTGATTTCTTTGCAGCCTTCTTCTTTTCATTTTGCACAACTTTTGACAGAATGTCTCTTATGTTATAAAAAGTGAAGCTCTTCAAGAAAAGTTAATATTAAGTTGGATTTTGGCACTCTTAAGAATAATAAGAAAGCATTTTGACAGTCTTACCATACACATACTTGTGCAATATCATCCAAGACAATAAAGGAATCACATAAAAATGGCACTCAGTTCAAAACAGATAAAATGCTAAACATATGTTTGTGTGTCTATGTGCATAAACAAAAATTCTACCTACAAGTTTCCTTAAACATCCAAAGCTGCAGCTCACAAAATCAAAGCCTTAACTTCTCTTTTCATAGACCATTAGTAAGTGTGTTTACTTTTTTTAAGATGACCTGAAATTCATACTGTAAGGACAATACTGATGTTTTAGAAACTAACTGTGACCACACCATTAACCCGCCAAATTAAAATAGGTTTGTGCAGCCTACTCTCAGTAAGGTATAAATAAGTATACAAAATTTCTACTTCCAAGAAACATTTCCGTGTCAAGGATTTGGTGTTTTTCAGCAGGAAATTCTTCCTCTATAACTGTTTTAAAATACAGTTGTTGTAAAATCATACTTCTAAAGCAGCCCCTTGCCTTCTCCTTCCAGCAGCACAGTGTCTCCACTGTCTATAACCAGCAGGGATTCACATGTGCTTTTTAACTAATGTCAGTGCATGTAAAGAAATTGCCACTGTTTCAAGTTTATTTACAAGTGAAAAAAATGAACCTCAAACTTGAGTGGGTGTCATTGCAACCTGAATGGTTCATCTTTACAGCAGAAAAACTTGCAGCAATTGCATGCAAACTCTTACACCAAACCACAAAACATTATGTTCAATTATTAGGAGCTGAATTACTTAACAAAACACTTCTATTTACTCTATTATTTATTCTCTTTTCACTTCAGGACAGAAAACCAAAGCAACTCCTATCTTAAAACAGCTGTGCTAAAAGACTACTTCAAAAACTCATTAGTGAAAGCCACACACCAGATTTCACTGTAAGTTTACTATTATTCAATCCTTCCTCATGGACTCAAGTTCACATTGCTACTGCCCTGACAATACTTCTCTGTTCCAAAAGGCTGTAAACACATCTGGAGAAACTTAATTCCCACATACTCATTGTTTTTTGAGGATTAGCTGTTGTGCAATTGATGTATCTTTGGTACTTTTTGCTTGGTTATTAAAATGCTCAGAGCTACCAGTTGTTGGGAAATCCACCTTTTAATATCCTAGGATGCTCCGTGTGAACTTTGTAATTTGCCTTTTCAGTAAACTGGCAGAAGCAAGGCCATACCTGGAGGGCTGCGTTCAGTTCTGGGCTCCTGAGAACAAGAGAGACACGGAGCTCCTGAAGCAAGTCCAGCAGAAGGCAACAAAGATGATTAAAGGACAGGGGCATTTCTCTTAGGAGGAAAAGCTGAGAGAGTTGGGCCAGTTCAGCCTTGAGAAGAGACAACTGAGAGGGGACCTCACCAGTGTCTCCAAGAATCTGAAGGCAGGGTGCCCAGAGGATGGACCAGGCTCTTTTTGGGGCTGCCAAGCAATAGGACAAGAGGCAACATGCAGAAACTGATGCACAGGAAGTTCCACCTGAATATGAGGAAGAACTTCTTTAGTGTACAGGTGACCAAGCACTGGAACAGATTGTCCAGAGAGGTTGTGGAGTCTCCCTCACTGGAGATATTCAGAAACCATCTGGACACAATCCTGTGCCATGTGCTCTAGGATAACCCTGCATGGGTAGAATGGTTGGACCAGATGACCCACTGTGGTCCCTTTCAACCTGAACCATTCTGAGATTCTGCAAAGTGAAATTATGCTACTAAAAGGATAGTTTTACTGGAATAGGTACCAAGTAGTAACAATAGGAATATCAAACCTACAAAGCTACTCAAGAAAGTAACAGAAGAACCTAAAATATACTATTACAAATTAATTCAATATCGAACATTGTATTTTTGCTATAATATATCCTCTAAAAACTCTACTGGAAAATTCCATTTCACAGGCACCAGGTCTTGGACAAATGTAGTGTAAGATACAGTCATTACTTACTGGTTTAGTGTCACATCTAAGATGAAAGATGATCCAAAAGCATCAACCTGGAAGCTGGCTCGAGCAATGTGGGTAGACTGCAATATGGAAAAGACTGGAATTATTATTTAGTCATGGCAAAACCTTTTGTACTGGTTTGAGAATGCAGAAACAAAATATATACAGTAAGTAAAAATATGTCATTAACCAAATAAAATTGCATTGAAACAGACAAAGCAGTCTATGATAATGAATAAAAGATCAGTTTTCTGAATCAATGAGACTTATTCAAGAATTCCCAACAACACAATCTGTGACTCAGAGCAGCCCCCCATCTTAACCCATCCATGCCATAGGAAACGCCTCTTCAAATTCCCATCCTGGGCAAAACCCAGCAAAGGGAAGTGAGACCTCCCCTGGCTCACATGTTCCTTACAGTGACTCTGGACACAGACCAGCGAGAACAGCTGAGAAATTTCTGGCTTGGTCAGACAACTGTACTCTCACAAATCTCACCGACACTGCCTGAAAGAAACTGTTCATTCACGCAGACTCTCATACAGCGAGGGGATAGCAATGGGCTAAAATATAATTAGCTGCATTTTCTCTAAAGATCTGACTCACAACCCTCTAAAAGTTTCCCAAAACTTCAAACCCTTAAGCAGTTACTAAAACCAAAGAAAAATGGGTGGTAGAGAAACAGCTTGCTTGCTTGCTTGCTTTTCTTCTTTTCTTTACCATATATTCTCCCCAAACTAGTTCCTTTAATTGAGTCCTATAGCAGGCAAACATGGGAACACTTCATAACTCCCAACTGCCAGAAACAAGAGGTTTTTTCTGGTAGTAGTGGAAGAAAATATTCAGCTATCCAATAGAAATGCAACACTTGTTTCTAGACCTGAAAACACCCGAGAAAGGGAACAGCCATGTTATTTAACCAATTAATTAGAAAAGCTACTTGGAGACATTTTGGAACAGTATCAACTTTGTTCCTATTTTGTTTCCATTGAAATGTGCGCATTAAGATTTGAAGCATGTAGACAGAGGACCTAAGAGGAAACACTGAAGAGCCACTTACAACTCTAAACTACACTTCTCCAAATAAATATAATACAGGATAGTACAACTGTAACAAATTATTTCTTGAAAACTCTGGGAAACACAGGACAGAATGGGATAATGTGAATCATCAAATTAACTCTTTCTAAAACTACTGGCAAGCTTTAAATAGGCAATAAATCCAGAAGAGCTGAGAATACCAGCTTCCTTGGAAAAGAACAGCAGCAATGCAAAGGAAAGTTGAGGGAATCACGACATTTTTGTTTATTACATCTTTTAGTTGCCCTACAGCAAAATTTTCTTGTTATGTCTACATATATAAGCATGAGTATTAATAAACAAAAAAGACAACAACCACAAATACACATACACAAACAGATGAATCCTTTAAAAAACCCAGAAGTCAGGACAGTTTCTCTTACTAGAGGATGCTCAGGCTGAGGGCCCTCTAGAAAAGTGCCTGGCTGTGTCACTGCTGTGGAGATGCATGCAAAATCACACGACAAGAAATTCTACATATTTACATTATACTTCAGAAGGATGCAGTAAAACTGGAAAGCTCCTTAGAAGGAGATATCCTGTTGTCTATCCCTACTACATCTAACCTGCTTTACAACACAGGCCACCAAGTCTTTGCTAAGTGGTTCTTGTAATTTCTGGATACTTTATCATCTTTTTTGAACAAATGTATAATTTTTCACCAAATGAATATATATATATACACACACATTACATATAGTTTACCTTATCTGGGTAAATAATAGGTGGTTAATTACCATCAATATTAAAAGCTTACCTTCTAACAAAAAAAAAGCATAAAGAAATTAAAAAGCAAATAAACAAACAAAAAAAAATACACATCCAGCTGGCATCTGCAATGACACCCACAGAATGTAAGGACACCCACTGCACATATGGCACCCACATGCAGGACCATAATTTAGCTGCTTCTGGCCTGCAGCAGCTAGTGCAACCATAAATACAGCAAAAACAACCATCAGCAAATTATCACATTACCATTGTTGTTTCTTTTCCACCTTTCAGGCAGCAGAGTCTGCTTTGAATGATTTTAAAATTTCATCTTCTCTTGCTAGATGTGAATTTTCAGGCTGCTGTTCACAAACAGGATGTGACAGGCCAAGAATCAAGTAAGGTACAAGGGACCAATGGCAGTTCTGTCATTCCCTTGTTCCACTGCAGCCCATTTGCTGACCTTAGCTAACCTCCATTCATCCACCTGCACTGCAGCAACTGCTTTCTCATCAAAGGAGTAAGAACAGCCCAGTCCTTTGATTCTCATCATTACATTATTAACTGCAAAGAACATTCTACAGCATTTTAGTATTCCTGCTTGTTAACAACATAGCTACATATGCCATCATTTAGATCTCTGCACAGAGTATAACCAAGACTTCTATTTGACCGTATGCTGGTACCAGAAGAGAATTGGTGAGTAAGAAAGAATATAAAAAGTCTAGCTTGGATTTCTAAATGCACATATATTAAATGTAACATTTGTCATTAAAATATAACCACTTCAGAGCCCATATGAGCAAAAAATTACTCTATTGTTTCAGTTTGGTTTGGCTTTTAACTGCTAGGTACATTGCACCATATCGATTTGGTCTGGGAGATTTCCTCTTGAACACATCTCCAAGATAAACAACTACAAGCTAATGTATTTCTAAGGTGACCCTGGACCACAGCTATTCCCTGACAGAAACTGTTAATGTGGATTTAAGGGAGAAAATACGTATGAATAAATATGAAAAACATTACACAGATGTAACCACTCCCCAAGATACATGATGCCAATGCAGAAACTTACCATTAAGTTTAAGCTCAAGTGCAATCAAGTGTATCTCAAGGGTATTTCAAGCCTACCAAGATACAAAGACATTCTGGATAGCCTGACAAACTCATCTCTTTCCAGAAATTGCATCCCTTCCTGATGCATGTTTGTAAAGCACTGTCACACTGTACACTGTGGGCTGCTGCCAAAAACGAACAGTTCTGCCCTATCCTGGCAATGTGCTCCCACCAACTCTCCCTTGTCAGCTCATGTGGCTAGCCAGCAAGTCAGATCAGCAGCAGAACACTAATCACCACTTGGAGATTTGTCTGGTTTTTGTCAGTCAAATAAACTGATCTAAACAAACCACAAGGTAGATGCAATAGTAAGAAGTCGAAGGGGACACCCAAGAGAGAACGAAGAGGAAGAATCTGTCTTCCTCTCATCCACCGTAACAAAAAACTGCACCATAATAGAATTCCAGACAATTCATTTTTTAGGTTACCAGTTTTTCTAAATATCTGGTTAAGAACCACAAAATAAAGAAATGGATTTTTAAAAAGTCCAAAAAAGACCAAAAAGTCTTGGGTCTACATTATCTTTAAGCACACCTACCTGCCCACTCAGTGAATAGGTAAAATGGCCAGCTGCAAAGGAGCTTACGTTCATGGACATACATCAATGAAAGAACCCAAAGAGAGGAAATAAGTACTTTTCCATCTACACCACCTCAGTCAAGCAGAAGTAACAAGAAAAACACCCACAAAGCTTTCTCTAAACCACTGAAGCAAGACAACAAACTACGTCATTCAGTTCTGAAACCCAGGAACTCTCTCAGAAAATGTGAGGCTTTTGCAACAACCATCAGCTTGACACATCAGTGGCTGACAACTGAGTCATGAAAAGGGAGTTCCTGGAGACCAGAAGATGCACTCAGTGCAGGACATGAACAAGAGCCAGGAAAGGAGAATTGAAGAACTTAATGGCAGAGCGCAATGCAATGCCTCCAACACAGTCAAGAGGTTCTGAAATTTTTATGTCGTGCAACTGAAGAAGAAAAATACCAATAACAGCTCTGAAATTAGCTGCTTCAGGTGCAGTACTTAGTACTTAGTGGTGCATAAATTGCACTGACCTGCAAGGCCCACTACAGAAAACACTGAACACCCCATGCACCTAATGCAACTATGCAGAGCTAACTTCTGTTAAAGACTGAAGTTTAAGCATGCCAGTGAATGTCTGAAAGGAATCAAGAGTAAATGGAGTGGAAAAGATTATTTCAAATCACTAAGCACAAAGATATTTTATCTAAAGCAAAGATTAAAAGCTTGAATTCTACAAAAACAAAAGTGGTACGCAAACCTTCCTGCCAAACCAAGAGCAATGTGATTCCAATTATTTTAAATCACCTGCTCCATGCCTCAGGGATCACTGCAGTAATAGAGGAGATGGACAATCAGTACCAAATATGACTATTTATTACTACAAACAAACAACAGAATAATGATGTCCCTTTGGTACTCCTGCTGGGGATCAGCTTTCTCCAGAAACTGGCCCCAAAGAATGAGCATCTGCAAAGGGAACAAACGCACATGAACTAAACCAGCACACATCACTGCAGATCAGCATCAGTGCACTGCTCTGGAGCTAACCTTAAATGTCTCTCAAAGATTTTCATTTCAAATAGCGCAAATATCTTAACCACCAGTGAAACATTTACAAACTATGCACTTTCCGGAATAATCAAACTAACAAGAATTTTAAAGGGAAAAATTTAGACATTTTCCTCACATTGTGTATAATTAGCTGAGTATTGAAAGCAGCACAGTAACATGATGACTAATATTTTTCCTCAAAAAATAAGGAAAAATAATTAAAAACTTGTTGTGATTAATGCGCAATTCCTCATAACATATTTCTTCCTAGAGAAGTATCCTTAATAAAGCACTTAGATGTTTTTAAATAAGTTTTGCTGGAAGAGATTACAAAAATTTCTGTCAAAAATGAACAAAGTCTTGTAAAAAATTGAGGAGAAAATCCTATTTATATGTTTGCCCTTTTATGTAAAAAATTTCTATTTACTACTATATATAGCATTTCGAATTAAAAGATTCTGATCAATTTTGTCAAAAGAAAAGCATCAAGAAAATCAGGAGATACAATAATACAGGATGTCACAGGAAGAAAAAACTTTAAAAGTGTGCTTCAGTGCTTGTAGGAACAATGAGATTTTATAGCAGATACTTC